TCCCAGCCCAGTACCAAAATATTTTTGAATAAATTTAAAAAGAGGGAGGAGAAGGTTAAAATTCATGGTTTAGTGAAGATTATCTTATGAGTAAAATAGAAAGTGAGAAGAGGTAAGGAAAGGAAAGAAAAATAAGCAGCCCATGAAGACTCACAGAAACCAGGAGCTCCTGGTGAGAATTGATTTGTGCAGCTACATGAGAGAAGACAGGAAAGCAGCCAGTGACTGGATCCTTGGATCCACTGGTGACCTGAGGACAGCTATTTCAGAGATGGGGACTCAATAGCCAGGTGCAATGGATTAAATGCTAGCTGGGGCATGAGAAAATGGAGAGCACATCATTTTCTACAGATCACTGAGGTGCTACACCCTCATCCTAGTAGGGCCCAACCACTTTCTCACCTTGACCTATCCCCAACCTTGGGCCAAAAGAATAAAAACCTTAAGTTTTCTTTATTGCCCTTGTAGTCTTAAGTATATTTTGTAGGCCCCATGTTCTTTCCCCAGACCCAGGGATCTGACCATCAGCGTCTGTCCCCCTGCAGGGCCCCCGGAATTGTTTGACGCCTGGCTTTCCCAGTTCTGCTTGGAGGAGAAGAAGGGGGAGATCTCAGAACTCCTTGTAGGCAGCCCCTCCATCCGGGCCCTCTACACCAAGATGGTGAGGGCTCAGTCAGCAAGACCTCTGCTGGCTCCAGGCTTGAGGTGTTGGGAAGTGGGAGGGACATAGGCAATGGGAAAACATGCCAGACTGTCCTGAGCCAAGAATCTGCATAAAAGAGGCAGGTTGGCCAAGGCTCTGGCTCTCAGAAAATGGTAAGAAAGGGAAGGGCCAGCCAAGCCAGATGGGAGTTACTTTATCCTTTCTTGGCCAAGCTCTAAGGGAAGGTGGGTGTGGCTCAAACAAGGTGAGATAGAAGAACTTGTACAGTTAACTGCAAAGCCACTTTCTCAGTCTGCAATTCAGAGCCTGGGGGCAGACTGATAAGGCTGGGGACCCAAAACCTGCACAATATTTACAAATTCTCACCTCTACTTTGCCCTCTATCTAGGTTCCAGCAGCTGTTTCCCATTCAGAATTCTGGCATCGGTATTTCTATAAAGTCCATCAACTAGAGCAGGTATGCTGGTCTAACTTGGGAGGTAACCGTTCAGCCTGGGGTACAGAAAAAAAAGCAGGCTGAGACTAGGAAGAGGGTAGCTTGACTGTTCTTAGACATTCCTCCCCTTTCTGCAGGAGGAGGCCCGAAGGGATGCCCTGAAGCAGCGGGCAGAACAGAGTGTCACTGAAGAGCCTGGCTGGGAAGAGGAAGAAGGTAAGTGGTGTTGAGGTGTGGTAGGGAAATGACAAGTCTGTCTGTGAGGCTCTAGCCAGTGAGCACAGTATATGTGCTGAGCATAGGTGGATAACAGAATGTCAAACAAGGTTGGTGAAAACCTACGTTTAGAGAAATCACTACTGTCATTTGGACATACTGCCCTGGACCAATTACTTCACTGTCCCTGGGAACAGAATGAAAAATCCAGATTTTCCCTTCCTCATTTTTTATTTATTTTTTTCTGTCAGTTTTGGGGCCTGAACTCAGCCTGGGTGCTGTCCCTCAGCTCTTCAGCTCAAGGCTAGTGCTCTACCACTTGAGCCACAGCACCACTTGGGCTTTTTTTTTTTTTTTTGCTTAGGTGGTGCTGAGGAATCAAACCCAGGGCCTCATACATGCAAGGCAAGCACTCTACCAGTGAGCCACCTTCCCAGTCCCCCTCACCTTTAAATAAGACTGTAGGATCCTGTCCCAAAGCCAGCCTGGGCAGGAAAGTTCCTGAGACTCTTTTCTCCAGTAAACTACTCAGAAACAATCTGGAAGTGGTGCTATGGCTCAAGTGGTAGAGCTTAAGCCTTGAGAAAAAGAATTTTAGGGACAATGGCCAGGCCCTGAGTTCAAGCCCCAGGAATGGGAGGGTGGAGGGAAAGGATACTTTTATTTATTTATTTTTTTAATTTTTTTTTTGGGTCCGGTCATGGGGCCTGAACTCTGGGCCTGGGCGCTGTCCCTCAGCTCTTCAGCTCAAGGCTAGCGCTCTACCACTTGAGCCACAGCGCCACTTCTGGCTTTTTTCTTTTTGCTTATGTGGTGCTGAGGAATTGAACCCAGGGCCTTGAGCATGCAAGGCAAGCGCTCTACCACTGAGCCACCTTCACAGCCCGATACTTTAATTTATTAAGTACTTATACTATACTACCTTCCCAGCCTATGCTAAGAGCATTATATGTATAGTCCTTACTGTGTAGGAAGGACTCCATTGTCACTTTCACCATTGAGGTCGGAAGTTAAAAGAGAAATGGGCTTGCCAAATTATGAACTTAAGATGTAGCACAGCCCAGTCTGAACCCCAGCTAACCCACTTTCAAGCAGCCCAGCAGAGCCCTGGAAGCAAGCAGGGCTTTGACTACAGGGAGTGTCTGCAGAAGAACCATGATGGGGCAGGGGTGAAGGAAATGGTGCTAGTCTTCATTGGAGTAAAAAACTTGGTTGTCTTGAAGTTGGCTGGGGTCACTGCCCTCTGTTTTCTACCTTTCTTTCTCTACAGAGGATCTTGTGGGCATTTCACCATCTCCAAAAGAGGCAAATGTTCCTGTGACCAAAACTTCTATATCCTCTGAAGGAAGGCCTGTCCCCCAGGGTTCCTGTGAAGAGACCCTTGGGACCTCAGTGGAGGCCCCAGCAGAGGTGACTCCATCAGAGAGCAGCGAGAGCATCTCACTCGTAACACAGATTGCCAACCCTGCCACTGCACTTGAGGCACCAGTGCTACCCAAAGACCTGTCCCAAAAGCTGTTTGAAGCATCTTTGGAGGAACAGAGCCTGACTGTGGATGAGGGAGAGACTGGTCCACCACCCCCAGTTCCCTCCAAGCCTCTAACCCCAGCTGGTCGCCCCAGTGGCCCAGAGCCTAGGCCTCCAGCCAGAGTAGAGACTCTGAGGGAGGAGGCACCTACAGACTTACGAGTGTTCGAACTGAATTCAGATAGTGGGAAGTCTACCCCTTCTAACAATGGCAAGAAAGGTAGGTCTGGCAGCCCAAACTTGGGGTGGGCAGGCCAAGAAAGAGTTGCCACCTTAAAAGGTAGATGTGCCTCTTTGTTCTTTTCACAGTTCTAAGAGCAGATTTTCTTTGAGATACTGATGAGGACAGCTGCTATTTATTGTAACTGTATTTTAATTAAGTCTGTCATCACATGGTCTCTGAAAGAAGGCAGTGCCATACATTTGGGATTAGTGTCAATGAAGTAGGGTGTATGCTAAGCCTTGTACTAAATGTCACCTGGCATTTCAGTTTCATCTGCACCTCACAACCTATGAGGTCAGCACTGTTATCTTCATTTTACAGGGAAGAAAATGAGGCCCAGAAATGTTAGGTGACTTGGTTCCTCATTGTATAGCCTCCCTGATTTTATAGCCATGCTCATAACTGGTACACTCTGCCAATATCTGTCCTTTTGGACAGTTCAGCCTTGCCTGGGTTGGGAGTTCTATGATGTTCATACCAGCAGGGTCTTCTCCCCTTTGGAACTTTGGGAAAATGTCAGCTTCCCTAAACGTTCATTATTATTAGGAAATAAGTAAAAGCTCCACATACTATTTAATGAGAATGAATTTGGGGTGACCCAGCTTCCATTATAGAGCTTTAGTTTCTTATCTGTATCAGGGAGATTTAGACTAGACACTACAATTTATGTCAAAGAGCAACCTCTTTAGCTCCAGGAATTAAAGGACAAGGATAGACATAATGTTAGCTTGTCACCTACAGAATCCCCTCTCTGGAGATTACCAGTTGTTAGCAAGACTGCCCCACCCCACTTGACATACATGCTGCTCTTGGCACTAACACTTAGTACCTGTCACAGCCTAAAGCTTGTCTATCAGGTGAGGCCTGGCCTACTGCACAATGAGGGACTGGTTTGATGTAGTGGATGGACAATGGACCCATCCTGGCCTTCTCTTCTTGCTGATGGGAACTTCAGGGTTTCCAGTGTCTTAACACAGTGCTTTCTTTTTGCCTGGTTCAGTGAGGTCATCCATTCAGCTCCTGCTTGCTCTTTATGAGACATGAGGGGGGAGGGGCAGAAGTGGAGATCTTTGTGATGAAGCATGAAGCAGTATGGGACAGGCTAGATACTGGAGGTGTTGAGAGAAAGAAGGAATCTGAGCATCAGCGCTGTCTCACCGAGGAGACTGTGTTGGAGAGGTGGGGCAGGTGCTGGTGGTAGTCTAGGCTGAAGGCATGTTTAATAGGTGATGACAAAACTCCCTTGACAACTCCGGTTGTCTCCCTGGAGAGGGAGGTACAAGAAGGGCAGATGGATTGGTTCTTGAGCAGAATTTAAGAGCTTAATATCTTAAGCTGGAATCAGAAGTTTGGACCTCGTGCCATAAAGCAGCAGATAGAGAGGCTAAGGCTCTCTGTATCTAAGGCTCTTGGTTCAAGTCTCAACTTTGCTACTAAGCCACATGACTTCAGAAATTTCTGATTTTCTGTAAGCCTCTATTTACTCCTTTAATATATTGAAGGTAATTGTTTTGGGATAGACTTTCTCAGGAAACTTGGGAGATCTCTGACCTGGGAAGTGAAGATAATAATAGCAAGAGGTAACATTTGTTGAGCATTTTCTATGTGTCTACACCTATGCAAAGCACTGAATGTGCCTATCATTCAAACCTCCCCAAAGCCTTCTAAGAACTGTGCAGTTTCTCATCTTTTGTTTGGTAGAAATCTAAGATCACTTACCCCGAGATCACTAATTTTTGAGCAGCATGTAAAATAACCATGTAGAAGGGTAAAAGAAGGTGATGGGCCTGACAGGTATAGTAACTTGGCTGGATGGGTAGCATCAGGGCCCTTTGAAAGTATGGGGATTTAAGTTCATACCCTGGGTGCTTGGTAGGCAGGCATTCACCCCTTGAGTCTTGCCCCTTATCTTTTTGGGTTATTTTTCACATAAGGTCTTATACTTTTTGCCCCAGCTAGCCTCAGACCATAATCCTATCTGTGACTGTGTTGACAGTCTGGAACCACTGTACCCAGCTTGTTTTGTTGAGATGGAAGTATAGCTAACTTGCCTAGGCTAGCCTCAAACTTCGTATCTCTTATCTCCATTTCCCAATTAAATAATTAGAGAGGTATGCTACACCTGATCTTGAACTCATCTGGGGCTTGAACTCAGGCCTGGGCACTGTTCCTGAGCTTTTCCTAGTCAAGGCTGACACTCTACCACTTGAGCCACAGCTATACCTCCTGGGGTTTTTTTATGGGTCCGGTTGTGGGGCCTGAACTCGGCCTAGGTGCCCCTCAGCTCTTCAGTTCATGGCTGGCACTCTACAACTTGAGCCACAGCGCCACTTCCGGCTTTTTTCTTTTTTCTTATGTGGTGCTGAGGAATCGAACCCAGGGCCTCATGCATGCAAGGCAAATGCTCTACCTCTGAGCCACCTTCCCAGGCCCTACCTCCTGTTTTTGGTTGTTGGTTTTTTGTTTTTGTTTTTTTTGTTCCGGTTGTGGGGCCTGAACTCTGGGCCTGGGCACTATCCCTCAGCTCTTCAGCTCAAGGCTAGCGCTCTACCACTTGAGCCACAGCGCCACTTCCAGCTTTTTTTCCTTTTTGCTTATGTGGTGCTAAGGAATCGAACCCAGGGCCTCATACATTCGAGGCAAGTGCTCTACCACTGAGCCACCTTCCCAGACCCTACCTCTTAGTTTTTGAAGATGAGTCTCGCAGACTTTCCTGCCAGGCTGGCTTTGAACCTCAATCTACAGATCTCAGCTTCCTGAATAGCTAGGATTGCAGGTGTAAGCTATCAGTGCCTGGCACCTTATCTTTTGTTTTTTTTTTTGAGGCAGTATCTCACTGTAACCTGGCTAGCCTATAACTCACAAACTTCTTGCCTTTGTTGCCTGAGAGCTGAGATTATATGTATGTACCACTACACCCAGCATTTCTTTTGTACTTTTTCCCAGCTACATTCAGTCGCAAAGGTGCAGGCACAGAGCAGATGGGAAGTTGGATTTAACTAGAGTCCACATTTAATAAGGTAAAATCAATGTAAGAAAAGGAAAGTATATGCAAGAAATGATCAGAATGTGGTCTTGTATTCTTAGCTGGGTAGGGGAGGGAATGAGAGGGTAGTGAAACAATTAGAGCTAAAGAATTATAGGTTCCATTTGGAATTAGGCTGCAAAGAGAAAATGTACTGGTTGGAGAGGTGAAATTGAGATGGGGGCGTTGCAGAAAAGGCACTCAACTACTCTGTGTTGCCTTGAGTACATTTGAGGGCATGTGAAAGGAGCAGCTATGGATATGATGCACAGCCACTCTACTAGTCAGTTTGGTGGGAAAAGCCAGTGACTTAGAACAGGTTACAACAGTGGGAATGTAGTAGAAGAAAAAATTTCCCCTTTAGCAAAAAAATTCGTGATTTTGAGTTGTTTTTTGAGGTACTGGAGATCCAACCCAGGTATTCATGAATGCTAGGTAGGCATTCTTATCACTGAGCCACACCCCAACCCAGGAAGAAATCTTAAAAGAATGTTGTTAGTCTTGGTAATACATTCATAGCACTCAAAAGACAGAGGCAAGAGAATCAGGAGTTTGAGACCAGCCTGAGCTATCTAGTGAATCCCAGGGTAACCTGAGTTATATAATGAGATTTTCCAAAAAAGAAGGCTGGGTTGTAGCTTAGTGGTAGACCACTTGCCTAGCTCTAGCATGTGCAAGGCCCTGGGTTTAGTCCCCAGCATGAAAGAAGAAAAAAAAAGATGGAGGTTTGGGAACTGACTCTTTTCCCTTACACACCCATATCCTCAGATGACACAAAGCATGGCCTTTGGGTACAGCAAGGCCTTGTGTCATTGCAGAGTTGCTTCCACCTGCATTATGTCCCAGGGTTTATCTGCTCAGCTGCTCAGTCAGGGGAGAGAAGCTTAGGGCAGGTTTAAAGCCCAAGGCCCTGGTTTGAAGGCCTTCACCATCAACTATAGAACATAGAAGCTGTTTTTGTCTGTCTGAGGAAGCAGAACCACTTATGCAGAATAAGATTAATTGTAACCTCACTCTGAGGTTAGTAGTCAACTGAGAACAAAAACCAGAAGGAGTCAGACTCTGTCTTGAAGTCCTGCGTTGTATAGATCAGGTGTCATATGCACAGTGCAATAGAGAGCTTAGCACACTCATGATGTGACAGGACAGGGTGGCAAGAAGAGGCCATTGGTGGCCAGATTCACATCCAACCCTGCTGGTGAAGCCTTCATTCAGTGTATAAACTGGAACTGGTATATTTACCCAGAGGATGGATGTGCATGCTTCAAAAATGAGCTGGTAGGGCTGGGAAGGTGGCTCAGTGGTAGAGCGCTTGCCTTGCATGCATGAGGCCCTGGGTTTGATTCCTCAGCACCACATAAGCAAAAAGAAAAAAGCTGGAAGTGGCGCTGTGGCTCAAGTGGTAGAGCGCTAGCCTTGAGCTGAAGAGCTGAGGACAGCGCCCAGGCCCAGAGTTCAGGCCCCACGACCGGATCCCCCCCCACCCAAAAAAAAAATGAGCTGGTAAAGCCTGGCACTGGTGGCTCATGCCTATAAATTTTAGCTACTCAGAAGGCAGGGAAGGTGGCTTAAGTGGTAGAGCACTCACCTTGAGCTGAAGAGCTGAGGGGCAGCACCCAGGCCCAGAGTTCAAGCCCCACAACCAACAACAAAAAAAAGAGGCTGAGATCTGAGGATCGCAGTTGAAAGCCAGCTCAGGAAGGAAAATTTGAGATTTTTCTCTTTCTTTCTTTTTTTTTTTTTTTTTGTCAGTTGTGGAGCCTGAACTCTGGGCCTGGGCGCTGTCCCTCAGCTCTTCAGCTCAAGGCTACGCTCTACCACTTGAACCACAGCACTACTTCTGACTCTTTCTGCTTATGTGATGCTGAGGAATTGAACCCAGGGCTTCATGCATGCAAGGCAAGCACTCTACCACTGAGCCATATTCCCAGCCCTATCATGAGATTCTCATCTCCAGTTAACCACCAGAAAACCAGAAGTGGCACTGTGGCTTAAGTGGTAGAGTGCTAGCCTTGAGCTGACAGAGCTCAGCGACAGTGCCGAGACCCAGAGTTCAAGCCCCATGACCAACAACAACAAAAAAAGAAGTGGAAGGATTTGCCCTAGCATTTAAGCCTAATGAGGGGATTTCAGGTCCTGAAGACTGAAGGAAATGTCATGCCACATCCACACCTCTTAGGTGAAGAGTCAACTCCCAAGTCAAGCTACTGAGCTACAGCAAGCTACACTAGAGGGTACATATCTACTATGTACATGTGTAATTGTTACTTTACGTTCATATTTTAATTCTAACACCACTTTTTCTCAAACTGCAGGCCCAAGTCTCCAAAGAATCACCCAGTTTGTAAAGCAGAATCCTGGGCGACCACCTGGTTGCTGAATCCCATAGGGGACTGGAAATAGGGAGGATAGGAATTGCATTCTGATAAGTTTTTCCAAAGTTCTTTGCAAAGACAGTGATTTTATCCTAATTTTATAAATAGACTGAAACCCAGAACAATTTGTCCATGACCGTACAGTAGGTCTAGGAGTGAGTGATACTCAACCAGGTGTGCTGGCTCCAGAGACCACAACACTCATGATGAGGAAGAAGGTGCAGTGCTAGCCGCTTGTACAGAATGCAGAGCAAGCCAATTTATGTAGTTCACTTCTTACTAATAACTTTCACATGCAGGCTTTTAGTTTGCCTATTAGACCATTCCCAAGTAGCAGTGTTTATGACAGTAGTCTAGACACCATACTTTAGTGGTGTAGATTCATGTAGATAAGGAGTTGGTAAACATTGCCTGGGGCCAGGTCACAAATGTTCCCATACAGTCTGTATGGGAACTACTGAGCTCTGCTGTGAAAACGCGAGAGTGGCCAGACAGGTAAACAAATGGATGGCTTATTCTGGAATTTTACTTCCAGAAAAAGGTGGTAGGCTGGATTTGATCCCTGGGCCATGATTTCACCTACTGGTTTAGAGAAAGGGTCTTGGAATATTCATTATTCACCTGCATGTTCTGAGTACCAGGAATACATAAGAAAAACAAAGCTCCTGGTTCTTCCATTGTAGCTCTGTGTTATTAGTAAGTATGGTAAATGTGACAATGTAATATATTAGAAAGTGATAAATATGCTGGAAAAGGTTGAAGAAAGGTGAGGTTGAGGAAAGCATGAAGGGTTGGGAAGTTGGCCTTACAGATAACCAAGGAGGATTCTGGTATAGAAACAACCACTAAAAGGCATTGCCTGGTATCTGCCAATAGGAACCAGGTCAGTGCAGGTAGAATGGTAAGGGGAAAGAGGCTCATGTTTCCCCTGGTAGATTCATGTGGCTCCTTGAAGGCCTCTGGGCCAGTGTGCTTCTCCACTGATTTTTTTCAGTATTGGGGTTGGAATTTAGCTTTGTGCTTGCTTTATACTCTGCTACTTGAGCCACATCTCCAGTCCGCCTCTCCATTCTTCACTTGCCTTTTCTAACTTAATGGTTTCAGACTAGTTTGCCATAATATATATAAAGTTCTCCAGCCTCCCTTTAAAAAGTCATATCATTTTCTGTCAGGTAACTATTATCATCCATTTGTGTTATTCCCTATTCTGAGTTTTCTTCACTATAGTGTATCACTATAGTGAAAATGGTTTGACCACTTTTTTTTTTTTTTTGGGTCCGGTTGTGGGGCCTGAACTCTGCGCCTGGGCGCTGTCCCTAAGCTCTCAAGGCTAGCGCTCTACCACTTGAGCCACAGCGCCACTTCCGGCTTTTTTCTTTTTGCTTATGTGGTGCTGAGGAATCGAACCCAGGGCCCCATGCATGCAAGGCAAGTGCTCTACCACTGAGCCACCTTCCCAGCCCCAACACTTTTTTTTTTAACTGAATTAATACTTTTCCTTAGACTCCTAGAAGTGAAATCACTAAGCCAAGAGTAAAGTAGTCTATAAAGACTACTTTTTAGCCAGGCTCACACCTGTAATCCTAGCTACTCAAGGGGCTGAGACCTGAGGATCGTGGTTCAAAGCTAGCCCGAGCAGGAAAGTCCCTGAGACTCTTATCTCTAATTACCACCAGAAAATTGGAAGTGATGCTGTGGCTCAAGTGGTAGAGCACTAGCCTTGAGCTGAAGAGTGCAGGGACAGTGTCCAGGCCCAGAGTTCAAGTCCCACGACTGAGGGAAAAAAAAAAGCCCATTCTTGTAAGGCTAGAGGCATGGCTTAAATGGTAAGTACCAGCTGTGAGCAATAAAGCCTCATGAGTGCCCCTAAAGGAACAGCAAAAAGCTGTGTTGTATACTTCCAGCTGTTTTAAAGATTGTTATTACATCTAGTAAAACCCTTTAGATACCCCCTTCCTGTCCTGTGTTGCCTTTTACACTGTGGTTTGTGTTTTCAGGCTCAAGCACAGACATCAGTGAGGACTGGGAGAAAGACTTTGACTTGGACATGACCGAAGAAGAAGTACAGATGGCACTTTCCAAAGTGGATGCCTCTGGTGAGGTGAGTGAGCCCAGTCAGCCACAGGCAAGCCAGGCCAGTGGTGTCAGGCTCCAAGACACTTCCCATAAAACTGTGCTGTCCACTCAGAGAGTATCCCTGCATTTGGATGAGCTAGCAGGCTGTACAGGAAGTGAGGTGAGGCCTAGCTCTCTACCCCCTGACAGTTGTCAGTAGCAGCTCTGCTTTTTTTCAATTCAAGAGTGGATGAATGAAAAAATCCTTGGCCTTAGCTTTGTATCATAATTACCCAAGGAACTACTTAACAGATTCTAGCCAGGTGCCAGTGGCTCACATCTGTAATCCTATCTACTCAGGAGGCTGAGATCTGAAGATGGTGATTTGAAGCTAGCCCAGGCAGGAATGTCCATGAGACTCTTTTCTTCAATTAACCACAAAAAGCCAGAAATGGAGCTGTGGCTCAAGTGGTAAGAGTGCTAGTCTTGAGCACAAAAGCTCAGGGGACAACTCCTAGGCCCTGATTTTAAGCCCCAGTGCCAGCAAAAAAAAAAAAAACATACATCAGGGTCAATCTGTAATCCCAGCACTCATAAGCATAAGCTCAAGGGCCAACTTGGACTACATAACAAGACCCTGTCTCAATATAGATACATATATAGATAATGAGCCCTGCCCAGACCTTATGACTTATGGTTCCCAAATGTGGGGCCTCAACAAGTTCCTGTCCTTAAAGACAAAAGACCAATGTGATAGACAGCAAGTCACTCACTTGACCTTTCTAGATCTAATACATGGAATTGATGATACTACTTGACTTATAAGTTACAATGAGGTATGCATGTAAACAGGTCAAGCATGGTGACTGGGTTATATAGTAGCCTTCAGTAAACATTAGTGATGCACACCAAAAAACCCATTCCAGTTACTGACCTTAAATAAGCCTTTAATTGCTTTTACTCTTTGCTTCTTCCCAGAATGAGGCTTTGGTTATTTGGTTATTATGGTGTTAGGAATGGAGGAACCCAGAGCCTCATGCATACTAGGCAACTGCCTACAATTGAGAGATTATTTAGAATTAGAGTCTAAAACAGCTAAAGGTTCTCACAGCTAATTTTTGACAAGACCAAACGTTCAGTCTAGAAAAGATGGATGTGTTACTTCCATTATTACATAAGAATCATATGGCCAGGCGCTGGTGGCTCATGCCGGTAATCCTAGCTACTCAGAAAGCTGAGCTCTAGGACTGGGAAGGTGGCTCAGTGGTAGAGTGCTTGCCTTGCATGCATGAGGCCCTGGGTTCAATTCCTCAGCACCACAGAAGCAAAAAGAAAAAAGCCGGAAGTGGCGCTGTGGCTCAAGTGGTAGAGCACTAGCTTTGAGCTGAAGAGTTGAGGGACAGTGCCCAGGCCCAGAGTTCAGGCCCCACGACCATACCCCCCCCCCCCCAAAAAAAAAAAGAAAGCTGAACTCTGAGGATCATGGTTCAAGTCTAGCCTGGGCAGGAAGTCATGAGATTTTAGCTCCAATTAACCACCAGAAAAAGTGCTGTAGCTCAAAGTGGTAGATTGCTAACCTTGTACAAAAGAGCTCAGGGATAGCACCCAAGCCCTGAGTTTGAGCACCACAACCAACAAAAAGAAAAAAAAATCATGTAATTCCTCTGTCATATGGGCAGATTAGAAAGACCTGTGAAGGTCTAGTCTTTCCAGTTGGGAAGCTAAAGCCTCAAAGGACATAGTGACCTGTATTCAAGACTATTTTGGACCTAGAACTTCACTGTACCCAGCAGAGAAGGCCCACAGTGTCCTTTCATGATATATAAGCAGTTGCTAGTTTCTGTGCCTTTGGCAACTCTCTTTAAAACTTGATGAGTAGGGCTGGGAATGTGGCTTAGTGGTAGAGTACTTGCCTAGCATGCATGAAGCCCTGGGTTCAGTTCCTCCATACCACATAAACAGAAAAACCCAGAAGTGGCATGTGGCTCCAGTGGCAGAGTGCTAGCTCAAGGACAGTGCCTAGACCCTGAGTTCAAACCCCCAGGACTGGCAAAAAAAAAAAAAAACCTTGATGAGTAGAGTTAGGGATGCAGCTCAGTAGTAAAGCACTTGCCTAGCATTTGCTGAGGCCCTGGGTTTGATCCTTAGCAATGTAATAAAAACCCCAACCTGCCATGCAGTATACCTGATCAGTCATTCTGCAGCCCATCATATCAGGGATGAGCTGATAGTAGGCCAGGAGTAACAAGGCAAGAGAAAAGAGATTTAAGCCAAGAGCTAAGGTGCTGGCCACTGATAAAGACTTTGTGAGCATGTACATGTACTATACCCTGCTTTTAGTTACAGTGCCAAGTGTGTTCAACAGGAGCCAGGTTCTCTTTTGTTGTTGTTTTGTTGTTGGTTGGTTGTGGGGGCTTGACTCTGGCCCTGGGCGTTATCCCTCAGCTATTCAGGGCAAAGTGAGCACTCTACCTGAGCCACAGTGCCACTTATGGTTTTCTAGTAGTTAATTGGAGATAAGAGTCTCATGGATTTCCTGCTTGAGCTGGCTTTGAACTGCAATCCTCAGATCTCAGCCTCCTAAGTAGCTAGAATTCAGGTATGAGCCACCAGCATCCAGCTGAGCCAGGTTCTCTTAAGGAAATGACTTAAGGGTTTGGTTCTTTAGGTGTCCCTTGTAGTGTCCAGAATTGGTTGGTGTCAGTACTTCCTTTGGGTATGAAACAGTCAAAGCAACAACAAGCCCTTCCCTCATGCTTGCCCAGATATGGTCCTACATTGTCTGGAAGGTCATGAATTCTCTTTCACAGCAGGGCCAGGGTATGGCTCAGAGTTGGGGCTGGGGTCAGCTATCCAGAATGGAGGTGGCTTTGCTTAGCAAGGGGAAAGTTGGGTCCGGGCTTGACTCAGAGGAGTAAGTGTGTTTGTGTTCTCCATTATCCTCTTACATTTGCAGCTGGAAGATGTAGAGTGGGAGGACTGGGAATGAGGGGAGCCATGCAAGCTGCTCCCCAACCTCTGCGACACCTCTCACCTCCCTCGCTCATCTCAGCCAAGCCCTGGAAGACACTGACTGAGAATGTCCCTCCAGAGGTCTCTACCATCCAGATACTGGTGGCTCCCTGCTGCTCTTTGGGCCTCTGATCACACCTGGGAAGGGGCTTTCTTAAATCCAAAACCCAGAAATCTGACTTGTGCCAACCTTAGGATCACCTAAGGGGAAGGACACTACCCTGTCACTGGAGAGCCTACATTTCTTGCTGAATGTCCACTGATCCCATGATCTTCTGTTGGGAAGCCCCAGGGGAGAATGCTAGCCCTTCTGTGTGGAGACAGTTGAGCCACCAGTCTCCTGAGGGAAGCCGAGACAACGCTGGCTTCCATAAGCACAGGAGGAGGGCCGAGCCACCTGCCCATGGCCAAACTGCTCCTGTCTCAGTGGATAAGAGGCATTTATCCCTGGGAAATGTGCCTCTCTCGGGAGTCTCCCCCTCCAAGGCATTTTCTACTCCTAGAAAAGTTCACTGGGGTTCAGAATCTTAAGACCAAATCTTAACCCTCTCCTTTTCCTCCAGCCCACACTGGGATGTCCCCTCACTTCCTAGGGCTTCTTTACATCAGATGCACCCAAGTCCTTAGCCCAGCTGTGCCACTGCAAGAGTCAGCTCTTGCATTCTCTCCCTTTCCCCAAGGGAGGGGACCACTTCAGGCCCTTTTCTGTGCGCTGCCTGACAAAATACCTAATCCAAGCAGCTACCTACCTTGACTCCCTGTAGCTACCAGCGGTACGAATTGATGAGCAAAAAGTGAGGACTTAAGAGCCCTGGTAAGGCTTCTCTGCCTCGGCCCTCTGCTTCCAAAGGAACAGGGCTGGGTGAAAGTTCTGAGACTTAGCAGACTCTGCAGAGGCAATCCTTCAGAAGACAAAGCTAGCCTGTGGCTCTTACCCTCTACTCTGGTGAAGTTGAACCTTTGTTGGGGCAGTGAGGACTGCAGGGATTCCTGGAGACCTCTGGTGCTTCACAGGTGTTGCCTGATGATTGCTGTTTGTAAGCTGGTGTGTCCACCAGTGATTTAAAGGGATCATGGTGGGGGCACCAAGAGTAGTAGGCACTTCACTGCAAACCTTCAATAAGGGGTGGGGTAGAGAGAATGCTCAATCTTATTTTGACGGGATGGGGTTTTTCTCTTTGTAATTACTTCTTTAGTTTAATTAACCTTTTGGTTGTTGTGCAATATTATATATTTTAAATTATAATGCATCTCCCCAGAGTATTTTGTAGCCAAGAAAAGAAAACAGGAAAAGGTTTTAAAAAAAAAGAAAAAAGATTCTAACAGCTGTTAGTTTTGTAATTAAAAGGAACAACAACAAAAAAAAAACTTTGTCTTGAACCTTTTACAGATTTGCCATAACAGCATTAAAGAAATGCAACAGAAGTCGGAAGTGTCCAGGGATCTGTTTCTGTCCCCCATGGCAGCCACACTGAAGCCTGGGCAGGACTCACACTGCAGGGTAGCTTCCCACTTGGAACTGGGGGTATAAGTTGGGGTATAGCCAGGGTCCTAACCTTATCCTTACCTCAGACTTAGCTTGTCCTCTGGGATGAGAAAGGGACGGGGCCTCAGTAGGCCTCTCAGCAAAACAAGGAGTCGGGAGGTGGTTTCTGCATTCCCATCACTTCTGCTTTTATTTGGAAAAGAAGCTGTAGCAACAGTGGTTCCAACTGCTCCAGTCATTTGTCTCCGCTCCTCCCCGTTCTGGGGTCTAATTTAATTAGCTTTAAACACCTGTATGAAAAGTACTTGCCAGCTGTTAATAATAAAAGGGAATTGTGAATGAGATCCTTGGTTCATAAAGATCTTTAGAGGGGAAGAGTAGTGTAAGTCTAGGGAAGGGTATATGTTAGTTTCAGGATAAGTAAACTTAAAATGTAAAATATATATCACCATTTTAGAAGCGGGTTTTTAGGTTTGCTTTCTCCCCCTACTTTATTGGGGAGGACTTGCCATTGCTTTTATCAATTGCTTGCTAGCCATGGGTGCCAACTAACTTCTTCAATTGAAGGCCGGAGGATCATGTCTGGTTCCAGGAGCCGCTTGAGCAGGTCCTGGCATTCGGTCGAGATTCCCAGATGAGTGGGGAAGGACACTCCCTTCTGCTGCTGCCACAGCATCTTGGGGATGTCTGTGTCGTCAAAAGGTAGGCTGGCGCAGAGCATGACATACAAGACCACGCCCATGCTCCAGATATCACCCTTCTTGCTGTCATGGGGAATACCCTGCAGCACCTCAGGGGCGGCATAGGCTGTGCTGCCACAGAAGGTTTGACTCAGCTCCCGGCGTGACTTGGGCACCACCTTGGCAAAGCCAAAGTCAGTCAACTTCAGGTTGAAGCCCTGCAACAAGGCGTTCTCACATTTGAGGTCTCGGTGGGCCACGCCACAGCCATGGCAGTAGCGGATGGCCTCGACCATCTGGCGGAAGAGGGCCTTGGCCCGGCTCTCAGGCAGTGGCCCCCCATTCAGCACACAGTCAAAGACATCCCCGCCCTCAGCCAGCTCCATCACCAGGTAGATCTTCCCATCGGCAGACTCCAGCATCTCATACACCCGGATGATGTTCTTGTGGTCCAGGGTACGGACGATCTGGAGCTCCCGGGGCAGGAATCTCTGGATAAACTCTGAGGAAACATGGGAAGGAGAGAGTCCTGACTTTGCTTTCCAGCCTTCGGTCTACCACCCACTATGGCTGGTGGTTCCTTTACTTCCTTAGTAGTCTCAAAAGTGCCTAGCAGCCAGAACATTGCAAAGAATTTACATCTATTTATTTTGGTAGTTAATACATTGTCATAAGAACTCTTCCCTGCCAACTTAAAAGGATTAGCATGAGCAGTCCTTGAAACTTCAGACATCAAAGTGTTGGGGTGGAGGGATGGAATCTCAGGAGGCCCAATAGCCAGAGTGGAGAGCCAGTTCCTCCCACCAGTGCTTACTGACTAGTTCTTTCCTGGAGCCTGAGCTTCCCCTTTCCCATCTCTACCTGTCTTAGCACCAGGTCCTGCCCTCCACTAGCCCTAGCTATGGCCTCTGCCAGTCTGGCCCCTCCTGGAATAGATGTCCCAGGATTCTTCACCTTGAATCTTAGTCTTGGGTGCTGTTGGACTCCCACATCCCCCTATTTCTCACCCCCAGACCATAGTCTGGCTCCCTTTCCTGGGCTCCCAACTAAAGGAGAAGGAATGTTCTGAAGGAACATTCCCAGCTAAAGGAGAAGGAATGTTTCCTTCCTCCCCCCCTTCAGAGAGGTCCCAGCTCACCTTCTGGCCCTCCCATCTTGTCTATAATTTTAATTGCCACTTTTCTTTGGTGTTTTTTGGAAAATGCTTCTTTGACTTTTGAGTAGGTCCCTTCCCCAATGGTCTTGCCCAGCTGGTACCCATTGGAGAGCAGAAATTCCTCCATGCTGTCTAGCGCCTTCTATCACCCTCTCAGCTCATGCTGCCTCTGCGAGGCAGCGCTACTCCACCATCGCCCTCGGCCTGCTCCTTTTCCTCCCAAGGACTTCATCCACAGCCGCCTCCAGCGCTAGAACATTCTCCGTCCGGACGGACACAGCCACGGGTGGTGGGGAGGGAGAGGGTCAGACATTTTAAAACTCTAGCCCAATTGTGATGTAAATGCTGTGTGACCCTTGGCCAAAATGGGCAGTAGCCCTACCTTCCCGCACCACACCTGCAAAACAGCCTGGGCTAGGTCCCCGCCGCCGAGCCCGGCGGTGAGATGCAGCCCTGCTCCCGAGAGCGCTCGGGGTGTGTGTTGGGGTTCGGGAGTGCCACGCTCCCCGGTGTGGATGCTGCCTCTCGGCAGGCCGTCCTTGACCCCAGTGCCTCCATCGTGGGGGACCCGGATGTCCAGACGCAATGGCCAAGTCCTGGGACCCCCGGATCGGGTCTGCACAAAGTGCCGAGGCGGCCCGGGTTCCCGGGCAGAGGAACGGGCTCTGTGAGGTCACAATGCCGCCCTTCCACTGGAGGCCGCGGCCGCGGAGCGCCGCAGACACCTGCCCGGCTCCGCCTGGACCGGAGCGTCCTCCCGCGGCCTGGGCTCAGGCAGCTGCTTCCAGCCTGGGACCGGCCTCGGCCTCGGCCTCCGGCAGGTGAGCCACCGCCCAGGGGGCGCCCGGCGGCCCGCGCAGAGCGCCTGGGGCCTGGACATGAGTGCCCAGGAGCCCCCGCAGGGTCGACGATTCCCCATTGAGGCCGGAGACTCCCCTGGCCTTGCCGCCGCCCCCGAGGCCCAGGACAGCCCGGAGCCGGTCACTACCGAGCACAACCCCGTCAGGTGAGGCCGGCGCCCTGCGGGCCCCGCCCCGCACCCCAGCTCCCACCCCGCCCCCAACTCGGGCCTCGGATGATCCCCGGGGCAGCCCCACAGCTCGGGGGCCCGGCCTGCCGGCCTCAGCGGCCCTGTCCGCGCCGCTTTCCTCAGGCCGCTGCGTCGCTGCCCTGGCTGCCACTGCCTGACGCTGCTGCACGTGCCCATCGACGTCTACCTGGCCATGGGCGGGAGCCCGCGGGCCCGCGCCACCTGAGCGCGCCTGCGCACGGCGGCTCCGCGGGAGCCGGGCTGGAAGAGGCCCAACGAGGCCCGCTGCGGGCCACCACGCCGAGGTCGCACGCGCCGAGCACGAGACAATGATGCACATTTTAAAATAAAAGAATGATGCACATTTTAATAAAGCACAGCATAAACTGTTCTTTCCACTCCGGGCTGGCCGTGTGTGTCTGTCCGTCGGTTCCGGCAGAGTGCGGTAGCACCTTCCTTTCGCTCTGACCGCCTCCTGCCTTGGCCCCTGCCCTTGCGACCCCGCCCTTCTGCACCAGCCTGTGCTACCCTCCGTCCCCAACTAATTGCTGGGCAGATGTCAGAACAGAGAAAGACTTCAGGCTAGGAATGTGGCTTAGTGGTACAGTGCTTGCCTTGCATGCATGAAGCGGTGGGTTCCATTCCTCAGCACCACATAAACAGGAAAAGCTAGAAGTGGCGTTGTGGCTCAAGTGATAGAGTGCTACCCTTGAGCAAAAAGAATCTCAAGCAGGGCGCTGGTGGTTCACGCCTGTAATGCTAGCTACTCAGGAGGCTGAGATCTGAGGATCGCGGTTCAAAGCCAGCCCGGGCAGGAGAGACCGTGAGACTCCTATCTCCAATAAACCACCAGAAAACCGGAAGTGGTGCTGTGGCTCAAGTGGTAGAGCATTCGCCTTGAGCTGAAGAGCTGGGGGACAGCGCCCAGGCCAGGCCCAGAGTTCAAGCCCCACGACCGAAAAAAAAAAAATCTCAAGGACAGTGCTCAGGCCCTGAGTTCAAGCCTCAGGACTGGCAAAAACAAAAACAAAGAGACTTGACCATACAATGCCCATGTCATTCTCCCATGATGGAATTGTATTTCGTGTTTTTGTTTTTGGTCCTCCAGCTTGCCAGACCAATTCTCTATCACATGAACTACACCCCAGCCTTCTAGAATTAGGTTTTGCAACCTCCTGTTTTGCAGTACTTGTAGCTTTGTGTGCTAGTCCTGAGGCTTGAACTCAGGACCTGGGTGCTGCTCCTGAGCTTTTTTGCTCAAGGCTAATGCTCTAATACTTGAGCCACATCTCCGTTTCTTGCTTTTTTGGTGGTTAATTGGAGATGCATCTCACAAATTTTTCTTCCCCTGGCTGGCTTCGAATAGCAATCCTCAGATCTCAGCCTCCTGAGTAGCTAGGATTACAGGCATGAGCTACCAGCACCTGCTAGCACCCGTGACTTTGGTGTTGAGGTTCGGGATTGCACAAGAGTGTTTTGACTTTTGGTTTCTCAGGTTGGGTAAAGAGGTCATTGGGAAAACCTTGGTTTCATTTCTTGGTTTTCAGGGGAAGGTCTTGCTCTAAAACCCCCGGATGATGGGCAGTGCTGGTATACTCCTCAGATTAATGCCTTAAGATCCACAGGCAAGCCTGTTGACACCAAGGCTGCCCAGGTGTGGTAGTGTTTAAGCTGAGCTATTTCCAATTTTGCTCCCAGGAGCTTGTATATGTTTTTTAGTATTGGAAAAAAAATGGACCCACAGATCAAGTCATTTGCCCGCTGAGATCCAAGTACAATTCACTAGTCATCTCTTCCCTAACCCACACAGGTTAGAAATCCAAGCTCTCCATTAATGCACTTCAGATACTATGGTCACTAAAATAGACACTTTTTTTTTCTTGTCCATGGGGCTTGAACTTAGGGTTTGGATGCTGTCCCTGAGCTTTTCTACTCAAGGCTAGTACTCTACTACTTTGAGCCACAGCACCACTTTTGGCCTTTTCTGTTTATGTGGTACTGAGGAATTGAACCCAGGGCTTCATGCATGCTAGGCAAGCACTCTACCACTAAGCCACATTTCCAGCCTCTTTCTCCTTTTTGATAGTGTGCCACTATGTACCCCAGGCTGTCCTCTAACTTGTGGTCTTCTTGCCTCTGCCTCTCAAGTGCTGAGATTTAGATATGTACTACCAGGCCTTTAGCCAGAGTCTTTATGAACCTGGGTACTAACCCAGGCTTTATTTGCTCAAGGCTAGTGCTCTGCTACTTGAGTCACAGCTCCATCTCCAGATTTTTATGGTTAGTTGGAGATGAGTCTCATAGACTTTTGTTGTTGTTGTTGTTGTTGTTGGTCGTGGGGCTTGAACTCTGGGTTTGGGTGCTGTTCCTGTGCTCTTCAGCTCAAGGCGAGCGCTCTACTGCTTGAACCACAGCGCCACTTCCAGTTTCTGGTGGTTTATTGGAGATAGGAGTCTCATGGTCTTTCCTGCCCGGGCTGGCTTTGAACCGCAATTCTCAGCTCTCAGCCTCCTGAGTAGCTAGGATTACAGGAGTGAGCCACTGGTGCCAGGCTTTTTCTCTTTTAATCTCTCTCCTTTCCCTTCCCTACTGTTCTTGGTCCTTGGTTTGTTTTTGGTTTGTTTTTTAAAGGAAACTGATCTTGCCAGTAGAGGCCAGACCCTGGGGCCCCAGGTAGAGTGAGCATTGTGGGTAATCTAGAAGCAGAAGGACTAGTTCAAGGAATTCAGTTTTCACTAAAACACTCCAGGCCCATCCCCGGTGCTGAGAGACCCATCTAATGCGAAGGATCAGGAATGGCTTAATAGAAAAGAAGCTAGATTAGGAACACTTAAAGAAACAGGCTGAGGAATTCGAACTTTGTAGGTGCTAAAGTATCAGGCTCCAATCTGTGTCATTTCATTCTCCTATTTCTCTTCTGTTCCTTTGTCTTCTTTCCTTCTGCAAAAGCCCCAGTTCAAGTCGTGCCTCTCCCATTTTCTAACTGTACAACATCAGACTGATTTTCTAAGTCTCTCTTAAGCCTCCATTAATTCTCTCTCAAGCCTCCATTTTTAGATCTGGAAAATGGAGCTAAAGTTACCTTCTGCAACAATGAGGCAATCCCTGGGACAGCCCCTTGAAGAGAGGTGGAGACTGCTATTATGCCAATTTGTAGCTACAGGGGGCAGTAAAGAGCCAGCCAGCCTAGGACACCAATATCGCCCTCCCCCCCCCCCCCCCCAGGGCTGGGTGAAGGCCAGCTCTGCGGGAGACAGGGGAAACCCTCTTGCCTTGATCTGTCAACTTCCTAACAGTTCTGCTCAGGAGCCTAAGGATATTTCTAAAAGGAGGGGCATTTTGAGAAGACAGAACTACCTCTGTCATCTGAAGGGTAAAACTATCCGCAGACTCCGGTGCAGGACCTCCAGGCCTCAGCCTTATTTTCAGGGCCTGAGCAATGAGGAGGGACCAGCAACAGAGGATTTTTTAATCACTGCCTTCCCTGACTTCTCTCTCAGACATTTCATTAGACAGCCCCTCCCTAAGAGACCCCCTTTTAGAAGAAGGGGGCGAAGTACAGATGGACCCCCACGTTTCCATGGAGATGGCAGGGAAAGGGTTGCTGTATCACCATGGCAACAATTGACGTCAGCACTACCCTTTCCCATTGCTTGATATGAGAGGGGGGCAGCCACCCCAACCATCAGCAAATCCCCCACAAAGCCTCCTCCCCTTGCTGAGCCAATCAGCCAAGGGGTGGACAAGCTTAATATAGCACAAGAGGTAAAAGCACAGACTCTGATGTCAGTCAAACCTTGGTTCAAATCTTCACTCTGCCTCATTTGAGCTGTGTGAATTTCAGCAAGTTCTTTAACCCCTTGGCTCCTGGGTTGGATGGGGAGGAGCCAGTCTCTGAAGGCTAGGGTGCGCACTGCTGGGGCTCCCCTCACAGGACAGACACATTGACATTAGCTGACAATCTTTCTGACCTGTTTGAAGGGTTGTGGCCTTTCAGTCCCTAGTGAGGGCCCCAAGACTTCCAAGTACTGGGCCTCAGGGTTTGAACATCCCAGGGCTGGGGTCTTCATTGGGGCCAGAGTGGGAATTCAAGGCTGAAGCCCCACCATATGGGGGTTCAAATCTGACTTTCTTCTCCCTGCTGCCTAGTACAGGTCTTCTCAGCAATCTCTGGCCTCTTAAGCATTAGAAGAAGGATGGACAGTGAAAACAGTGGACATCAGCCCCATACCAGGTAGAACAGGAGCTAAGCATCACAGGAAACTGGTGACCAGGCCCTACCACCCTTGAAGTATAAGAACAGAGTCACTCTCGTTCCCTCCCTCTTCCCCAAACCCCAGTCCCAATTCATATTGCCCCAAGTCCACTGCCACCACCTGAGTGAGACCCCCATTACTACCCATCAGATGCCTCTGGGAATTCCATAACCAATCTCTCCTTGTCCTTCCTCAATTGATCCCTCTGATCCTGAATTACATAATTCATAAAGACCATAACCCCAGCCATGCCACTCCTTTGTTGAAATCTCATCAATGCCTTGTCCAACCACATTGGAACAACACTCAGTGCTTCACAAAGTATCCTTCCTTCCTTTTTCTTTTTTCTTTTTGCCAATTCTAGAGCTTGAACTCAGGGCCTGGGCATGGTCCCTGAGCTGCTTTTGCTCAAGGCTAACGCTCTACCACTTGAGCCACAGCGCTACTTCTGGCCTTTTCTGTTTATGTGGTAACTGAGGAATTGAACCCAAGGCTTCATACATGCTGGGCAAGCACTCTACCAAGCCCCATTTCCAACCCATCCTTTCCACCTTTAAACACCTGTGCCTTCTGCCTGGAACAGTTTCCCTGGGAACCGCATTTACCTCTCAGGTTGCCACCAGCTGTCACTTGTCAGGGTGGACTCTTCCAGAGTACCTGCCTCCCATTCCACTCTCTTCCCATCCTCTCCTGGAGCATTGGCTGTCTCACATGTCGCTGATCCCTGTTTAATGCTGTCTGGACTCACTGAGAGCAGGGCTATGTCATATTCCTCCTTGTATCAGGAACCTTCAAATTAGACTAGCTAGTGAATGGCTACTTGATAAGCCCATAGACTTCACAGTGCAGCCATGGTGCTGTGGAAAGAACTAGCAGGACTACCTGGCCTGGCTAGGGAGTGGGTATGGCTCTGTTTAAGAAACTGACACTCAGATGAGGAAAACTTAAGAGCAGAAAGTGTTATTGCACTGGGATTGTGTGTGATCTGGAACTGAGGAAACTGCAAGGGGACAGAGAACATACCCATGTTTTGGAAGGACAAACCTAGCTGTCCTGTTGAGACAGCCAATAGGAGATCTAGGGTGGCAGCAAAGAGACAGGAAGACGTTGCAGCCTCTCAAGAGTGGGGTGATTGGACCTTG